TCGTCCTCCACGAACTTCCTCAAAGGCTTTCAGCTATAACTTTAGAACACCTTGTGCTATTGACTCCAAATTTTCACCCCTGTCAACTATTACCAGAGAAAGGTTCACAAAGAACTGAAGAGTGCAAGTGTCCTCTGCTCAGTTTTTTTTTTTTTATATAGAACATTCCCAAAATTCGTGTGCATGCGGTAATCTTAGAAAGCCTCTACTGATTGTCTTTGCTTCAGAATAGCTTGTATCCTACTCAGACGAAGGAAGGTACTGTTAACGGAGTGTAGGAGCCGCTTTGCCACTTTTGCTCTCAAAATAACAGGATTTTTTGGAGTATAGGTAATTGGGTCACCATTTGTTTTTATCCGAATAGCACTGAAGAGCGGTGGACCTGGGAATTATATTATTAAATGCTGACAATTTGGTCAACTGTCTGAGACTTCAAGTTTACTGTGAGCGAAACGTCAGTACATGACCAAATTATATTATCCCTAGGAAAGAGAGAATCACTAACGTCAAGATTATTATAATGATAACCAAGCGCTAAACCTTTAGGGGTCACTAATGTCAGGAAAGAACTAGGTTTCGAGTGCACTGAAGTTATAATCAAGAGGAAAGTAAACCAAGGGGTCATACAGCCTGTGAAACCCATCAAGAGACTACCTATTTCCTGGTTCAAGCTCCTCTCGCGGCATCGTGGCACCTTCCTTTAAACAAGAGAAAAACTAGTCAATTCACTGGCTGCCTTTTTATGTGCAAAAGGGGCGTAGCACAAATTTTTCCATTTTTTAAGAATTTAGTAACTGTCGTTTTAAGTTGTTTTTTTTTCCATTACACTGTTTACGGGTGCAAAAGCCAGATTTTTCATGATTTGAGGTGGGGGGGAAAAACTGAAATTGTATTTAGACCTGGTTCCCGCTAACGTCACTAATGAGGGATATTGTTGTGACCATAGAGGAGGGTTGAGCGCAGGCTAAACTGGCAGAAACCCAAACAAACGTTAATGTTGGGGGAAAACAAGGAACGGTCTGCCCAAACTCAAAACCCTAAAATAGGGGGTAAATACAGAAGGGGGTGGGGGTTTACCGGTTACCTGGGGGGGTATTGGGGGATCAACGCCCCGCGGCCCGTCCTGCCCGGGGCCTCCCGGGATCGGGCCTGATCAACTGGGCTGTTACTGCGGGCCGCACGCAGTCCAACGTACGAGCCACAGCCCGGGATCCGGCCTGACTTTAGTATTGTCCAGCCTTTTGGGAAGGGCAGCCGGGGGTTTTTTGGCAATTCCCCAAATGCTTATGGGAGGCTTTTGAACGTTTTGGGCCCCGGACACTTATGGTGTTTTCTTTTAGTTCCAATGGCGCCCTACCTTTTATTGGCGGCATTTTGATCGCCTCCCCAGTCTTTTACTTTCGTAGGGAGTGATTTCTGTGTGCGTTTTGGGCCCTTTCCTTTCCCAAGTTTTTTCCAAGTGTAGATTATAAAAATTTCTCTCCCCTCCTGCGTTCCAACAGTACAAGTCAAGTGTTTCCCCAAGCGTTCCCAGTAGTTTAAGGTGTTTTACAAATTAACGTGCAGAAAAAGGATCCTGTACACTCTCTAGTCTGCGATTTCACCTGCTTTGAATGGGATGTTAATTACAGCAATTCCACCCTAGAGGACAAGTGTTTTAAAAAGGATCATCTGGGCTGGCATCTCTCGTTTTAAAAGTTCTCATTACCCATCCTATCTTTTTTTGCACTGCGATCTGGCACTGTTTGACCCTTGAAAGTGAGATCCTCAGACTTTACACTCCCAGGCCCTTACATATTTTTTCGCTCTTTGTATGGCCGGGTCAGTAGTATCTTGTTCTATTTTATTCCCCATTTTTCCAAAACGGGTATTGGAATTTGTCCTCTTTGAAATCAATTGTTTACCTTTGCCCATGGAAAACTTTGTTTATTCTTCTTGGGGGTTAACCGCGTCCTCGCGATCCATATCATCCGCAAAGGATGATAGGGTGCTGTGTGTAATCCTGTTTTGCTGAATGAGGAAAAGGGAATAAGGGGGGCGATACTGTGCCTTGTGGAACGAGCTCTTCACTATGGCACCCCCGTTTTAAACCTTTTGCCCACTACTCTTTGTGTTCGATTTGTTGGGAATTGAAGATCCATCCCCCCTTTTTCCCATTATTCCTTTAGCACGTATTTTAGGGGCTTTACCCCCCATGAGCTTTTGTCAAATGCTTTTCAAAGTCTGTGTATATTACATCTGCATTTGATTTTTTTTCCAGGACCCAAAGGGCCTGCATATGTCCAGTAGTTGTGAGGGGCAGGAGCGACCGCCTGAACCCATGTTGCCCTGGTTGTGCGTTTTTGGGGAACCCAGGTGATTTGAATCTGCTTTTTGAAAATCTTTTAAAAGATTTTATGTGGGGGAGTCGAGCTTTTGGGTCTAATTTTCTTAGCAAAAGTTTTGCGCCACCTTTTGGAGTGGGGCTATATCCGTATTTTAAGTGACTGGGGAAATTTACCCATTCCAAGCCCTCCCCTAGTTACTTAGGCACGCGAGAGGGGTTTCTTGCAGTTCTTAATAAAAAAGAGTTCCACGAGTCGGGCCCGGCTGAGTGCTGGCATTTTGTCAATGGCTTTTTCGAATCTACGGAGTTGGGGTAATGTGGGAAATCTGGCACATTTATGGTTTTTGGGCTCTTTCATGAGAAACTTTTGGGGGTGCGTCCTCAGCCGATTAGTGGTTCACTAAACACAGACGTACGGGGTTTTCAATATTTCACTCATTTCCCTTGTTGTCATTGTGTAAGTCCCATCCTTCTGAGTAAGGGCCCCGAAACAGATGGGTATTTGCCTTTTTTTTTTGGCATATGAAAAGAAATTTTTGAATTTTTTTCAATTTTTACAAATAGTTTTAAAACTCCTCCTGCCCTTTTGGTTCCGTAAGAGTCATTTTTGTTAAGTTCGATGTTTCCACTTCCCTGGTCAGCGCCCCTTTGTGTATAATATTTTACACTCCCGAGAGCTCAGTGACTCTTCGTGTCTTTTGTAAGGGGGGGTCTTTTTCTCTCCATTTATCCTGCCTTTTTTCTTTCTTGGGAATTGCCTAGAAATGCTTTTGGGCCCCCGGGGGTTGTCCTTTCAAGGCCCGGTTTGGATCCTGTCATTTTTTAAAACATTTCCCAAATGTTTCGTTTTGGACAGGTTTACCCGGGCCCCTTGATGTTCTTGTTTTTGAATTGTATTTTGTGAAAAACACCCTTTAAGGTACTCATTCTGTGTTCAGGACCCCCATGGATGTACGTCTGGACTTCGATTGATTTTTGATCGGAAAAGTTGTGTTTGATATTTTTTTCTCTTAACAGGTCCCATTATTTTTGGGAAAAAAGGGCAAGTGTTTTTCTAGCTTGTTGGCTCCACTATCTCAAACTTTGGGGGTGTTTTTCGCAGAGACTTAGTATCTCATTGTGTGTGACCCTTTTATCTTGCTACCCCCGGGGGTTGTTCAGCAAAAACATTATTTGCTAATTCTCCATTTTGTATGCCCTTAGGTTGAAATCACCAAGCGTAAATGTTTGGGGATGACTGGGAAAGGTTTCCAAACAGTAATCGATTTTCGTAGCTTTTCCTTGAACTGTTGTGAGGTTTCATTGGTGGTTGTATCAACCACAATAAGGTTTTTGGGTTTCCGACTTTTTGATAGAACTTACTACCCATTTTGGGTTCAGCAACCCCGGCAGATAAGGGACTCTTTGACATACAGGCCAACCCCCCCCTTTTTTGCCTTTTTTTCTGTCGCACTAAAAAGGTTGTAAAAACCCCTTTTCCATATTTCACTGTCAAAGTGATCTTTTGGGAGTCCTGGGAAAGGGTGCAAACTTTTCATTAGACCCACTAGAATCCCCTGAAAAAGGTATTTTGTTGTTTGTTTGGGTTAAGGCCCTGTATATTAGCAAATATGAACGAGGTTGTATTCTGGTTTGTTGGGGGGATTTTGTTTTGGCATCAGTTGTTGTAATTTGGAGGGCCCGGGGTGGCCACTGGCTGCGCCTCCCGTCCAACAAGGCTCCAAGGTGGTGGACTATTTTTTTTTCCTTCCATTTTTTTTTTTCGTTCCTTTCCACTAAAAAATCACCTGGGTTGGGTTGTCGTAGCTCTATTTTTTGTTTGTGGGGTTGTGCCTCCTGGGCCCTTTTAGATGGTATGGGGGCACTCGATGTTGTAAAACGCTTTTGGAGGACCGAAGTGGACATTTTTGGGTGAAAGAAGTACAGGAAGAAAACGACACACTCCCTTTTGACGGAGGCGCTACATTTTTTGGATGGTCAAAGTTGCATGTCCCTTTTTTTCCCCTGTTATTCCAGCTTAAGATGCCCCAAATAATATTTGCACAAATTCACCTTTGGTTGAGAATTGTTGGGAGGTGTGTTTTCAATTTCTGCAGGTTCTGGGTGGGTGTGAGTTGGACCTAACTAGCTTGTGATACTAGGTCGGATGCTGTGCTCCTCCCTTAAGTGACGTGTCTGACCTCACTAGGTCAGTGAGGTCAGACGGTCAGTGAGCTTCAGGTCACTAGGTCAGTGAGCTTAAGCCGGTGGGAGAACTGGACCTGCCTCGCATAGGCCAGTAGGCCTGTTGCAATGTTCTTTCTTTATGTTCTTATTACAAGTCAATTTACGTAAAAAAAAGCTCTTATTAAGGACAAATGTTCGATTTTATTATATGCAAATGTAGACTAACAGTAGAGTACTTTAGTATCGCAAAAAAAATAAGATTTTGTTTTACGGTTGGTTCGGAGGATCGAGTTTACCGAGCAGCGCCAGGCGTGTCAGGCGTCCTGTGAGTAAACACAACGCCATGAAAGCGCTAAACAGTTGGCCTGCAATCGGCGATTTTAACTCCACCAGCCAAACTCAGAAACAGGAGTTATTTATAAGGTTATCAAACCTTGCATAATAACCGGGGTTATCAATCTCATGTTACATATTGAGGGGGGGAAAGTCTCGAATGAGACAGTACAATTCTATGTTGAAACATTACGTGGTGTTAAGTTTCATTCGAAGTCTCATTTTTGTTGTATACAGCGACTCAGAGATGATGAGGCCGAGTGTGTATGGTGGTGGTTTGTTACCTGTCTGAGGTCACTGAGAGTGGGAGGGTGGCCAGGTGAGTGGTAACTACTACTGTGTAGATGGCGGGGTAGTTGAGTCATACAGGGTATGTTCTCAGAAAGGGGTTACAGTATTCTTTACTGGTGGTGAAAACATTTGTAGTCTCATTGACCCCTTGTTTAAATTAGTTAAGTTTGGAAATTTTAATTTAAACTCTTAGTTCTGAACCCGTGCTATACTGCGTGAACTCTAGGACCTAGCTTAATTCTTCCTTTTACTTGTTATTTTTAGTTATCCAGTGGACCTTTTAAAATAGAGAAGTCTGAGGACCTAACTTCTAATCGACCATCTGACTTTAGCATAAATTCCTAAGATCACAACCAGCTTTCGTAAAGAAGTTTAAAGCTACGCTGCCGAAACCTGATAGTGAATGGTGCGAGTGACTGGCATGGTTCATCTTTTAAACTAGAATCTATATCCCTGTTTCTTTAATTATTCCCCCCCCCCTATACCGTGAACTAAACATTTAAAAAAAAAAAAAAAAAAAAAAAAAAAAACCTGCCATTTTTTTTTTCCCTCCCAATACAACAGTAAAAATCTCATTACCTCTTTCCTCCCACTCTTCAAAGACCTTGCCATTAAATGATCTGCCGTTATTTACATTTGACTACGTAAGGCTTAGTCGTGCCCTCACTGCTGGTAAATTCCCACCACTACCCCTGATTTTTTAAAGCTTAACAATTACCCGATATATTCTTCTATCTTTCTTTATTTACCCTAATATCTTGGGGTACATAATGCTTATCAGGTAGAAATTTTGTTTAGCCCTTAACTGCTTCATCATAGCCTACTCTACAGTGTAACTCTGCTTAAGTCTGTGCAACGCTACTTAACCTTTCAGTTAAGTTTCAAACTGGCCAGGAGGCTAAATCTATAACTTGTGCTGGATGGTGACTTCTGCTTTCCAGGTGTATGACTGGAAAAGTGTATTAAATTATAATAAATGTTGCCAGTTTGAAAGTTAATCCTTCAATTAACATACTTTATCAAAATACATATATTGTATCTTTGACTTGGGTAAAAATCTAGTCTTCGGAAATTATTTTAAATTATTTCTCTAGTTCAAAGGGCTGCATCAAAACTTCCCGAAAAGCGACGTGTCGCACGAGCCACGTGTTGCCTATTCTCTTACTTTACGTTCGTCACTTAACTGGTTTTAGCGTAATCGTCTTGAATGCAAGATCATACAAGTATATTATTCCATGGTACAAAACTTCTCTTAAACTGCACTTGGGTTACTAAATTTTAACTCCTTAAAACCAGGCATCCCTCCCTGTCTTCCAAATCGGCTTGTCACAATTCTTCGTACTCCAGCATGTCTTATAGCCAAAATTCAGGGAAAACGAGTTTTACACGTTTTTGTCCTGTAAGTAACTTCAACATTATCACTGACACACGAAAAAGACTTCGAAAAATTCTTAGTTTATCTTAAGCCACATCTAGTCTGTTCAGACTTCGTGAGACTTCGTGAAACTTCCGTATGCAAAGGAGGGGAGGGAGAACTGGTATTTATTGCCGTGATACTTTATTAGGCATACTTTATTAGGCATACTTTATTAGGCATACTTTATTAGGCATACTTTATTAGGCATACTTTATTAGGCATACTTTATTAGGCATACTTTATTAGGCATACTTTATTAGGCATACTTTATTAGGCATACTTTATTAGGCATACTTTATTAGGCATACTTTATTAGGCATACTTTATTAGGCATACTTTATTAGGCATACTTTATTAGGCATACTTTATTAGGCATACTTTATTAGGCATACTTTATAGCGAGTGTATCTTTAAATTTATTTTGCCATGTTTTCTAAGCTTTCTTAAGCTCCAGATTTTTTTATCCATAATCTGATAACACTTGTTTTACAGGATAGTGTAGCCCTTAGCAAGACTCCACCCTGCCTCCCAGATCTTCATAGAACTCTGCCATCATGGTTCACCCTCTCCTACCCAAACCATTTCAAACCTTCGTGCATATCCCTGGCAGCGGACCTGTGACTGGACAGCAAAGGGACTCTCCAATATCACTTCTGTCTTTCTCCCCGCTTTGTCTTCTACCCATCCCCAACCAAACTAGACCACTATCTACCACAGCATCTCTCTCACAAGGAAGAGAATCTACAGCGACTTCTGTACAGCCTGCAGCAACGGTACATCCGTCTCAAACACGGACGGGAAGCTCTACAGTACAAGAAAACCGCAAGAGGACTTCTCAGTGTCGCAAATCCGCATCTGAGTCTCCTTCACGTCCCCCAACCAAGGATCCTTTACGGAGAATCCTAAAGACTCCTCGACGTCCACCTCTTCCCAGGACAAGACTCGTATCGTCTGAACAAAACTTGAGAACCACCGTGGCAGGGCTGGGGACTAATTCTTCAAACCTTCGCCAGAGGGTCGAGACTTCTCGAGCTGGTATACGCCCGTACGTGCCGCTGGAGCAACGAGCCGAACGAAGTTCCTTTCTCCCAGTTTCGCAATTTATTCATTATGTAACAATGCAACAAGCTCAGCAGAACAGGTCAAATCTCTCTTCTGACGTAGTACAGTATTTACGCAGGTACTAAGATTCCCCCCCTCCCACCCCTTTGAAGTTGTATGTACTTCAGCAGTAAAAATTAGTCGCATCTGCGACTTTACTAACTTGACATGACCATTTAGCCAAAATAATTACTTAGTCGCCTCCCAAGGTACAAATGTTTATGCAGCCTCTGACTGTAATTTTTGCTTCAGGGGATGAACAGATTTTTAAGCAACGCATGAAGAATTTCTTGCCCATATAAAGCATGATTGTATTTCGTTTTTATTAACTGTAAACTCTCAATGGGTTTATATGTTGTGAAATTATCTTGTGCCTTTCATTTGACTGGTATGAAGTGGGGCAAAAGTCTTTAATTCTTATTTTCCCTGCATAAACTTTCAGCTAGATAATGGTTTAATTTTTAACCGTTGAAAGTACTAAATTTTTAATAAATTTTAACTAGATATTTTATTATTCCTGAATGTACAAGATTAAACTAAAATTCTTTACGGAACTAGTGAGGTTAAGGTTTATCAGGCAACGACACGTTTCTTGAGGTGGAGTCAGTCGTATGAAGACTCTCCACTGAAGCGTTGTCATCTGACAGAGGCTGTCCGCTGGTTTATCGGATAACTCCATCTTCCAAAAAAGATGGTCGATTATAACCATTAAGATTGCTCTAGGCATCTAGTTAAAGATTTATTTTTCCTTCTAAACTTTAATTGCTTAATAAAACGGACATTTGAGAAATGGGGGGGGGGGGGGGGGAGGGAAGGGGTAAATATCTGAAGACTTAAAATTATATTTCCAGATTCTCTAACTATACAGAATAGTTAACTGCTGGTATGTGTTCAGTTCACGGGTCTTCCCTCCTGTGAGGGACTTTGGGCCTTGGACATGCCTTCTCTTCCTTGGCTCAAACATAATTACCTCCAACTTTCTCAGGCGCTGTATAACCCCTATGGGTTTGATGCTTCTTTTTCAATTGCAGTTAAATATTCGCTCGCCACACAAGTTATGTCTGTAAAGTGCCTGACACTGTAAAACGCGCGCACGCCCACACATAATAAACGGGTAATAGCCTCCACTCCGGTAATTAAGTGCCATCTACCCCAGACTAGTTGCTGTTAGCATCGTTAGTCTGAAGGGGTTGAGGTGGAGGGAGAGATGAAGGGGCCGAATGAGGAAGAAGGGGCAGAGTAAGGGGAAAATGGAACAAAGGCGGAAAAGGGACAGACTGGGGAAGCAAAGGGAATTAATAAGACTGGAAACGAGTCTGTAGTCTTTATTTTAGTTGTAGCTGTCTGAAAAGACTAAGAGGTGGTCTATGGCGCTTGTCGCTGCTACTGCAGCAGCAGCATGTTAGCTAGTTATATACCTCTAAACCCGTAGTTATTTCGGCGCAATGTGGGAGGGCCCTATCCTCTGTAATAAGAGAAAGTTAGTTCAGTAAGTGCTGTAAGTATATTACCAATCATGCTCCTAGTGCAGCCCTTAAAGGTGGGACTGTCTTGTCTTAAAAATGAAGGGATCATGATCCCAGAAACTGGAGATTCCTGGGCTCACTTCCCATGACTTTAATCGCTGTCTGAACCCTATGGGTTTGGCGCATTTAAGGTACTCTAACACTCCATGCAAAGTAGCTTGACTTTGATTTTCTTTTCCACTTAACAGTTAATTTCGATACCACCCAGCCGCTTAAATGAAGGGTGGTGACTACGGGAGGTGCATTAGTTTAATAGATATCCACTTACTCGGATCAAACTTAATTGCCTCCTTTTTCCCCCAAGCTGCATAAGACCCCCTTAAAGTTTAATACTTTGTCCATGACTAATACTCATTCTAACAAGTTTATTCTAGCTTAACGAGGGAAAAAAAAAATTTTAGAAGGTAACTAAATCTGCTGTGCAATTATGGTGGTTCCCTTTCCCTGCTAGGGTCACAATTAGCCTGTAACAAGCTGACAGGCAAATGGGCAACTCGTTCCCTCCATTCACGAGCTGTCGTGAGTGTGGGTCACTCTATATCCACCACAATCATTACGACTACTTAATGATCCTCAACGATGAGCTTGGTCATGCGATGCATCAATCGGCTTAGCGTCTGGCTTGGTTGAAGAATGTTCTTTATTTATGGTCCCAGGGAGGGGATTTTGTAAGTGGGGAGTGGATTATGATAGATTAAGGGAAGGATTAAAGGGGGATTTGTTGAAGTGTGACGTCACGTGAGTGCAGGTAACTGAATGGATATTGGAGACAGTCCCGTCAAGTGAGGTCCCATAATGCTGGTGACAGGTTCTTGACTAGGTATTAAAGTAATTTCAGGTGAAATCGCAGATCTAGAGTGTACAGAGATCCTTTACTGCACGTATAAGTTCTGTCAAGCACCTTAACTACTGGGAACGCTTGAAAGCACTTGACTTGTACTCGTTGGAACGCAGGAGGGAGAGATATATCATAATCTACACTTGGAAAATCTTGGAAGGAATGGTCCCAAATCTGCACACAGAAATCACTCCCTACGAAAGTAAAAGACTGGGCAGGCGATGCAAAATGCTGCCAATAAAAAGTAGGGGCGCCATTGGTACACTAAGAGAAAACACCTTAAGTGTCCGGGGCCCAAAACTGTTCAACAGCCTCCCATCAAGCATTAGGGGAATTGCCAATAAACCCCTGGCTGCCTTCAAGAGAGCTGGACAGATACCTAAAGTCAGTGCCGGATCAGCCGGGCTGTGGCTCGTACGTCGGACTGCGTGCGGCCAGCAGTAACAGCCTAGTTGATCAGGCCCTGATCCATCGGGAGGCCTGGTCGTGGACCGGGCAGCGGGGGCGTTGATCCCCGGAATAACCTCCAGGTAACCTCCAGGTAACCTCCCCCCCCACCTTCCCTTAATCAAACCTGGTTGTCGCGTTCCCAGGAGTTCCCCGAGTGTTTATCGCTCCCCAGTCAATATAAAATGACTTCACAAGATGGTTGACGTTATTTATGGCCTGTGGTGAGGCGACGTTAAGGCGGCACATCACTTGCTCCCCACCTGTTAACACTTCAATCCCTAAAATGGGAGGTCGGTTAAATTCTCGCCACATACACAAAGCTACACACCTGTGTATATACTTTTAATCCTGATGGCGCTTGAAGCCGAGACTTCTTTTCTTTTGGTATAAAGAATGGGGTTGTATATTCCTTAGTTTCAGGGACAAATTGTCGAGGTAATCCCCTCAAGGGAGGTCCCTTGACGCTGGTGAGGGGCTCTTGATATAGGGAATTGGATCTGTGCTCCAGTTCCCTGAATGCCTTCCGTCCCCCCCCTCCCCACAAGCGCTGTCTAATGCTACGGGTTTAGGGCTCCCCATGATTATAATACTGTCCAGGTAATGACTATTATAAAGCGCGAAGCCCGTATAGATTAATTTGAAGTGGTGGAGGCACAGACAGACAGACAGACAGACAGACAGACAGACAGACACAGACACACACTCACACACACTCACACACACTCACACACACACACACACACACACACACACACACACACGTGTCTCGCCCATTGTGGGGTTTCGTAATGTACTCCATGACGCTGCACAGTAGGCGAAACTTTGTTAGATTAAAGGCATATTCTCTTTGTTGACTTTCGCTGTGTTGCCTGCCATCTATGTCACCATCTACTCTTACTATCTACCTAGTAGACTAACGATGAATAAAAGGTTTGTATCATGAAGGTGATAGTGTTTGTCTCTCTTAATGTTTACAGTGTCAGTGATGGTGACTCCATCCCAATGCTTGTGGTGTGATAACGATGGTGATTCCATCCTAATGTTTGTGTTGTGGAGGTGATACTGATGGAGTCTTCGTCAATGCTTATGGTGTGATAGTGTTCATCTTTGCGATGTGATGGTGATAGTGAGGGAGTCTTCATGTTTGCATTGTGAAAGTGATGGTGTGTCCATCTTAATGTTTTGGGAGACGACTCGGCTTCAGACGCTGCCCCAGATGATTGCCTATACCGGATATATAATACACACACACACACACACACAATATATATTATATATATTATATATATATATATATAATATATATATATTATATATATATATATATATATATATATATATATATATATATATATATATATATATATATATTGCTCTAGCGGAATGGAGTGACAGAATTTAGTGGAATTTAGTGTTGATAAATGCCAAGCACTGGACATGTGAGAAAGCGAAATCAAACCGCATACAGAATACAAATTGTATGTCAGAGAACAGACAGGAAGATGTAATAGACACTTGGGCATCACTTGGATATCGTGGAAATGTTTTACCAACAGTGGTTTCATCAGTCCAATACAGAGAAGAACTCTTGAAGATCGGAAGGAGTTTGACGTAATCAATCCCTGGAGGCGATGTGATCAGTCTGTCAATCTTGATAGGAATGAAAATTATTAAAAAGGATATACAGTTATTATAATGAAATCACCAGATGATCATGTAAATGAGACTGTCGGAAATGCATTTACTGCACTGGCTAAATTTAAAACTAATCTCCAACATATGAATGGAGACTGAGAATCTATTGACAACATCCGTGAGGCCAAAACAAGAATATGCAGCTGACCTTTGGTGGCCACAACGAAAAAAAATGTATGGGTGCTAGAGAAAAATTCCAAAAAAGCGCAAATAAAAGAATCCAAGAATTAAAAAATATAATAAAAATCTTAGTGTGAGAGATGCCCTCTGTTGATATTAGGAAAAAGAGATATGATAATATACAAGATTATAAGAGGACATTATGGAGGGGTTGAGCTGTATAATCCTCCGGGTTTAGCGCTTCCCCTTGATTATAATAATAATAATAATATGGAGGGGTTGAAGTTTTTTTTTTATTAGCATCACCAGGACTGCACGAGGCCACAGATATAAATTAAGAATAACGGAGCGGAAGGAATGCCGGAATTTTTTTTTCAGACGAAGTGGTAGAAGACCGGAATAAACTGACAGTGGAGGTAGTGCAACAACTGCAAATCAGAATAAATTGTATGATAGATAATTGCCAGTAGATGGCTACAGCCCTTCCCTTAACACAATCCTCAACACGACACAATCCTCAACACGACACAATCCTCAACACGACACAATCCTCCACACGACAGAATCCTCCACACAACACAATCCTCCGCACGACAGAATCCTCCACACAACACAATCCTCAACACGACACAATCCTGAACACACAGAATAATTCCCCCCCTCCCCGACAATCCTCCCACACAATCCTCTACACAATCCGTATAATCCGGGATTACTAACAGCGTATCTGATTCTGCTCTTCGGATTAGCGAACAGCTGGTTAAATGTGCTGCTGCACAAATAAATATAATTCTGATAACTCAGCAGTGTTCATTTGTGGGTTGTACACTGAAGCGTCAGCATACATGTACAGCCACCCACGTGTACAGT